CGTCCGGGGGAACTATATACTCTCCTTAAGGAGTCACGCTCACCATTATTATAGGTCGGGACGATTACCCACTGCTTCGATAACCTGAGCCCTATACTCCCGTTTCCGGTCGGGTACCGGCATGACCTCTCCTTAATCGAGGGGGAAATTCTACCTAAAGTGGTGAGCCCTCCCGGGTATCCTATCATCTCCGCATAGGCCCCGTATGAAAACGTCCTTACGGGGGTGCCACTATATACTGTGGCTCTTAATGCTCAGACACAAAAATAGAGAGTTGTTGAAGGGGCAAAGGTAACGCCCGCGATAGCGAATTCGGTCCTGCTAGGAAGTGAATATATTTGGGATCGTGAAGCAAGTGATCAGGCTGTCGCGATGTTATGGTGGTCGAAGGATGATGTGGACAGCGCGAGGATTACTCTGGCTCGGTGCTATGTACCGGTACCCCGACAGATCAGCATGATTCTTCACTTTCCTTTGCTTGACACGATGAATGACTACCATTCTAGTCAACCAAATATATTGGATGATGTGGAATTGTTCTACCCGGTCCAACAGTATTGGTGGGACGAGTCTATTTAGACCGTTATCTTAGTATATTCCTTATTGGATAGTGTATACACTGCTGGTTCCATAAATATCCGTTCCCGTTTAACGCAATCTAGTTATAGGCTATATATATTCCGCCCAGTAAAGGGTAGTGTGGGTCGGCAATTTCAAAGTAACAAGTTCCATTAAAGAAACACTAAGATAGGGAGAGAGAAAAGAAAATGAAGGGGAGGGACACTAGGAAGCCGATCTAGTTATCTACATCTCCTCCTGTTCTCATCAGGCTATTTGCCATCCTCTAGCAACCAAGTATCACAGTATAATCTTGCATTTAACGATACTTCAGGCGTAGATCGATAACCTTTGCTTATCCTAGCACTTCACTTAAACGCACACCCTATCTATTTTTCAGGGGAATCATAACGGGTTGTTATTTCCATATCACAATTTTTCATGACTTTTTCATGAGGATGCAGGTCCCACCGAGATTAATGTAACTAGTACTCCACAAGTGAAATGACGCTAAGTGCGCCCCTTGTCTGTGGAGCATGTTAATGTCGGTGGGACCTGCACTCTCCATAGACTAACTAACTAAATTAAAAGCCCTAGTTAGTTAGTGTATCTCCGTCACTTCAATGTTTCTAGATGGGCACGGCCTGCAAGGCCTTGACGGCCCCCGCAAAGCCCACAAATGGGCTCGAACGTCGGGCCCAAGGCCCAACCCAACGCCAATGGGTCCCCATCAAAACCCATTTTGTATATAACTATAGTCTTGGCATACGATTATACGGCTACATTCACTCTATTATAGGGGCTTGGACGACATGAGTCCGGTGTATATACTACTTTGTGCTTGTCGAAGCGTTTACTCAAACCCTGGAACATCGAAAAGGAACGTCGTGTGGATGCACCTTTTGGATTCGATCGCTGTATGACATCAGCGGCTAAGAATTCGTTGAATAATGTATACACGGTGGAAAGGCGGGAACTTTGGACAAGTGAGATGCACCATGAATTACCGAGGACTGGTGCTCAAGGAGCAGTGTGTCCGGTCTCAAAATTGATCTGGTAGGCTGATGTCCTCTTGGTACTCAATTTTGGTCTGTTTAAAGAGTCATAGGTAACTATCAGTGTGGTTGCTCGGGTAGGGAAGCTCAGACTAAGTCTTTCAGCGTTAAAAAATTATGTGAATGCTGGACCCATCGTAGCGGATCAGGTGAAATGGGGGTTGTGGAAGTATTGATGGTGCTGATACCCGGCGGAGATGGGAATGAGGCTCTTCGGCGAGGGCAAGGTGATTGGATCGGATGAGTCGAGCTGGGTAGGGTGACGTAAGCGATGTTACCACCCGTGGGACCCGTGGACCGTTGGTTAGTTAGTACGAGCTTGCCCTGCAAGCCTTTAGCTCCCGAGGTCGTTTTTCAACCTTTGTGGGGATAACTTGCCTTTGGATAAAAACTCGCGCCATCCTCGTATGGTGCAGTGGTAGAGATTGTACGCTATCGATTCAGTGATGTTGGGTCCATTCCCATTGCCTACCTTCCTAGGTTGGATTGGCTGGTCCCCTTCGAAGCACATAGGTAGTAATACTCTCTTGACTGCTGCGACTTTACTTTTGCCCTCTCTCCCTGTTTTTCCCTCGTCACGATTTATTTGACAACTTGCGGGATTTTTGGTATTAGAGAGGTGCACGAGGTTTGGGTTATGTGTGCTCTCGTTGGTTTCGTGTATCTCTCTGATCCATCCATAGCTCTATAGTTTCCTCTTCTTGGCCCACGTATCTCATACCTCACTACAATGACTAGCCTATCTAAGCGTCCACGGGTCGGTCCCTAATGACACCCAGCTACTGAGTAAAATATAAACGGAACTATCGGTGTATCAGGATAACCATATCCTAGAGGCTACTATGCGTGGTAAAGAGAAATCGAACTGGGCACATAAATACAACATATGCAAAACAAAACCTCCGCGACATCCAGGTATTCGGGACCATCTCCCTATAAGTCGTTTTTGTAAGACTGATATGGACCTCGACGCATACTCTGTACACCATAAAGTACTTAAAAGCCAACGGACAATGAATTGTGGAGACATCCAAAGTCGACGGATTTGAGCCAGCCGATACTATGAGAGCGTGAGTTAAGCTCTGCATCAGGGATTGGCGTGCGCGGTGACTTACTTTGGTCTCAAGACATATAAATATCAATCAGAGCTGAAGCCCGAGCTGAATCCCGAGCTGGATCCCGATCCATAGCCTGAATCTCTTCCCGAGCATAGAATGCATTCGTTCCCTGCGGTGACCTCCTGGGTATTGCTTACGCTGGCAGGGTGCGCTTGACCTTGTAGTCGCGCTGGACACACGCGCAGCACTGAGAGTGTGATAATACAGCCCCTGCGTGGACAAAGGGTCTGGAGATACTCGCACATGATTCTTTTTTCTGGCGCGGTACTTAAGGTGGTAACTGGATATCCGCCTGGTGAAATGGCTTGTTGGCTGTTGCAATCGTAATTATGCTGATACTGGTGCTTCAAACATTGGGGTGAGATTGTAGCCTTTAAGTAGATTGAAACCCCGGAATCACGGCTTATTCCTTGCGTATCCCTCTCCCCTGTCTGGCCTTCTTGGCAAATGGCCAGTGTGCTTTATTAGAAGAAATTAGTGTTTTGATAGTTGGCGGTTAAGATGCATATACTGTGGCATTGATCTGCATCATCACACACTAGCAGTTAGTTAGAGCGCGCGCTTGCACGAAATATCTTGATTTGGATGAGATTAATTATTTTGAATAAAATATACAAGGATACCTCGATGTTATCACTATATAGGCGCCCTTACAATTACCTAGTGGTAATAATTATAGAAGTGAAAGATCAACCTAGGAGCATTTGAAACATAGCCTACAGCAGTAGTGTCCAGGACAAGGCTGGAGCGGCCCAAAGCGTCGACAAGTGATCCTCTACAGGAAAGGAGGCCAGAAACGCGATAGAGTAGCGATGCCTGTGGTAAAGTCGGGTGAAGAAGGGGAAAAACATTTGGTACCGTATAACCTAGTATAAACGGGGTAACTATCAATAATATCGACGTCGAGTGTCACTGCTTAATCTAGGGGTAAATTCCATAGCTATATGCTGGGCATGAGTGAGACTAGAAACTAGAATACCAAGACAACGCCTGGAGCCGTGAGGATGATTGATGCCAGTGAAGGTTTCTGTATCATATGTCAATATTCCTTCGGTTAAGTGCCTTCAAAAACGCAAGGCTTCATCATTAATACAGATATTGATTTCCCGTGCCTCTACCTGGGTGTCATGTCAAGTCTAATGTCTAATAACGATAGATGCCTAGGAGCTTAGATTGAAGCGCATGGTACGGAGTAATAATATTGTATCTTTGATATTATTATGATTCGGAGCCTAGTGTTCGAATAGGAACATATCATCAGAAGGAATCAAAGATTTTGCTTTTGCAACTGAATTGGGATTAGCTACAGTGTTTCAAGTAGGTAAGAGCAGCCTGTCAGCGGAGAACTCCAATTTTGTGAGTGTAGCTACGGGGCGCTGTTTCTACGGGATTACCCTTATTTTGGATCATCTTTCTTCTTCGTTCTCTCTCTGTAGGTGTGCTCTGCGACAGTGGTTTGGGGATTGTACTCTTGCCTGCTAAATCGACCCACCGGGCATGTTTCCGTGTAGATTGCACTCCGTAGAGAGGATCCCGCTAGCGGACGAGATCTGCGAAAGCCGCCCAAGGCTTTATCGAAAATTTAGCGTATGCGCCCGGCGTGTTATCCTCCGACTGCTCACATTGCATAAACAGCCCCTGCCCAGATCAGGTGGAAGTACAATCAACACTGGCGTCAAAACAAGACACGCTATTTTTGCCTAAAACAAGAAAGATGAAACCAAAAACACACAAACAATGATTGATTCGCTAATCCCGATTTACGCGCCCAGTCCAGTCCTTCCAAGGTTAGGTACCGAGCTAAGTAAACGCCCGGCTGCCGTTTCCCAAGCTTCAAGCTTCCGAGAATACTATAATAGTATAGAGAGGGGTACGTGATAGGGTCGAGCGCCACTTGGGCACGTTCCTTTGATCATTCAACTAGCGAAGGACTCCGCACTCCGCACTCCGGGGCCCTTTCTTTCTTCCCGGTAGTGGTAGGCTCATCGAAACTTGTCCTGCAATCGGCCTTCTGCACCACCAAACAGTCGACTTCAGTTGAAATCCCGACATCTGAAGTGAAGTCCTGCGACGTCACCTGATTGTCGGATAAACAGTCTTGCCGCTCACAGGCGCAGATCGATAGTCATGTACGGAGTACACAAACCTCTCCTTTACCTTAGTTTTCGCGGCTGACTTGCAAATTTGCCCATAATCTTTTAGCCAGGCACATTATCTACACCTGTTGCATCCTTTATCGATCATCTGCCACGCTCACACGCTCCCCGCCATGACGGACCAGGAGCTTCAAATTCCCGACCCCCGAACTCGCACAGCATTGGAAAACGAACCCACCCTGAGAATTGTTCTCAAGGCTAAATATCGTCCTGATAAGTCCCGACGCTCTGCAGATGTCATTCCCTGGGCAGAGAAGCTTGCCGAGAGCGTCAGTCGCGCCGCACTCAAGGAAGTTGGGAAACCAAATGCCGACTTTGAGATAAGCCTGAACATAATTCAGATGCTCGGCTCGCCGGACTATGTATATATCTGTTACGATATTTTCCGCGCTGAGTGCGATCGAAATGTACGGCTCCAGACCCAGGAGAGTTTGCAACAGCCAATTCATTATGCTAGTCGGAGAGGAGGTACATACCTCATGCGGAAGGATGCGCGTATTGAGGCATTCGCATCTCGATCCTACTCAGATATGAGAAAGCTCGACAAAGGAGAACTGCCGCTGTTTTCGGACCTGAAATTCCCGCCGTGTTACATCTTTGGGAAACGCATGGAAGAGCAAGGGCGGAGCCAGGAAGAATGGCAACAGCTCCGGGCAGAGCGGAAGAAACAGAATGCTCAGTCGTCGGAAGGGGATAAGATGATTCAAGGTGTCCTGGAAAAAGATAGTGAGGGGTGGGAACACGATGAGCCAGATAACCCTGTCCCAAGAGAAGAACTCCAGCGGGCTGAGCCGTCGGGTGAGGATAAGCCAATGGCGGGTGGCCCAGAGGAGAAAAGTGAGGACAGGCAGCACGACAAGCCACCAGTTGGTGATGGTTTTAAATGAGAGTGCATCCAAGAGGCTACGCGATTGAATTGACGACATTACGCTTGTTCAGTATTGAGACATCGAGACAAGGTGAATATTATGGCCTGAGTACTTACTACGTGGCATTTTTTTTATCGAGCTTTTCGCTAGAATGTCCAATAATTATGGTTCCCCCCTACCACGATCGGCATACAATTGTTGTGCCTACCCGATGATGTGCTGGATAATGTTTTTAGGCACAACTGAATTTATAGGTTGGTATACACGTAAAATACAGCCATTAATCAGCTACTTTATACCTAGGTACGTGCCAAGACTGTATTTGTGCACAGAAATGGGCTTTGATGGGCTTTGATGGGCCTTCTTTGAATTAAATTGCAGTTCTGTGGATGTATAGAGGGTCCGGCACTCAAAATCAAATATTAGTTACTTGGAACCACAAAGGCGCTTGGATCACTGTCTATATCGTCACCAACTATCTACGTTATAGTTCTTTAGAACTATTGCACCCATTCTTCGAACAGCTTAGTGTCCAAATTAGTATATCCATCGACAACCTCCAGCCCCCGCACACGTTCCTGTTCAATGCGCTCCCAGGTCCACTCTTCGACATTCCACGAGTCAGTATTCTCCTTTTGCTGCTTGTCCAGTGTCTCCTGGCTAGGAATCTGGTCGCCGCTCATCTTCAATACCTCCCGAACCAACGATCCGTCCACGCCTTCCATGGCCGTGATACCTTCGCCACTAACAGGAGTGCCAACGTCGGAAGCCTCAGCCGAGGAAGATTGGGCCTCCGCTAGTGCGGTCTTAGCCTCACTCTCCTGGGGTGGGGCGGGGAGGAATCCGCTAGCGTGTAGAAGCCGCCCCGGAGGGACAGTCAGCCGGCCCTTTTTGACGACGTACTTGCTGACGGCCACAGCAAGGACGACCTTTTCGCCGCCATTGCGGGGTGCAGGTCGCATGAAGCAGGTCATGATGTACATCCACTTTGCATCCCAAGAGATTACCTTGGAGTGCATCTCATATAGTTCGAACGGCTTAATTTCACGCTTGAATGTGCAGTAAACAGATCCGAGCACGATCGAAACTGGCTTGCGCCTTGGTGCCGGCTTTCCCTCCTTCTTGCTTGCGGCTAAGAACTCCTGGTCTAGCTCCTTGCTCACATTGCCGACGCCCGGACTGTAAATTCGGCTCACGAGCGCTGTACGCGAAACATCCAGATCCGTGAAATAAGTGCTGTTTGACTTGTGTAGATTGTAATCTGTCTCTAGCAACGGTGTGCGAGATGTGACCATGCATGGCACGAAGATGGGATGTGTTGGATTGCCCCGGGAGTCCACGATAAGTCTCCCCTTGGGGAGAAGTGGCATACCTGGTTTTAAACGTAGGTTGCCTACGAAGTGATACAGCAGGCGGAACTGTTAAGTCTATTAGTAGTGTAAGATATCGAGGGGAGGAAGTCAATTCTGATCCTCGAGCAAGGGGCGAAGGAAACACTTACATGCCAGACAAATGGGAGACTTTTCAAATTAATCACTGCCAGAAGCAAGGCCAGGTTCTTCCATGAGGCCAGCGACATTACGCCAGCTAGTATCTCGCGTGTATTCTCCATAAGTAAGCCCCCAGAAATTGAACTGTATGGAAACCAACAGATAAGAAAACGTCCGATTGATTCGGTACAGGTACGCTGACAAAACTTGAAACTAAAGAAGATATACTCCTGTTCATCTATAGGTGTCTCAGGAGATGAGATGAATTGGAATTAGACAGAGTTGAAACGAAACACATCTAATAAGAGACGGAATGTTCCACAAGGAATGAAGTGGCGGGTCCAATCTCAACTGAATTGATGAGTCTCAAAGCCGAGCCTGCCGATCACTGATGGCGATGGATCGTGAATTCCCCTTTTTGTTGGGAGCCGAGGCCGATAAGCCGACACGTGATATTGTGCTTACTCATGCTCTCAGCACCCGAAGCCCAGGGCCACGGGCCACCCCCATAACCCTCCAGGGGTCGATCTATGGATTTCAACCTGTTCTAGTCTAAGTATTTCCACCATGATACAGTGCCGGGGAATAGTTGGTGCTTCAATAATTCCAATACATACAACAGGAGCTTGGATGAATGCTAACTGCTTATTGGTCGAATGAGTGTATGCATTCATCCAACCTTGGCGTTCACCATATGTTGTACCCTTAGAGACTTGTGGTACTTGTGATCCAGGAGAAATTTGTTGAGCACGTTGGATTTTCAATCATTTATAGTTTAGTTTTTTACTTGATTGTGCCTGACTAGTTGCTGGGTTGGGATTTCCCGCACTCATATGCCGAAGTGGTGGGAGTGCCCAGGTATCTTCTACATACGTAGAAATAGGCCACTGAAACGGAAAAATGGAAGAAAATACTGCTGGCTACAACATTCTGTATTATTTGGACCGAACATAATCGCAAATAGGGGAAAAGGCTGTATTTGTGATCCAGGTTATACCACGGTGAAGACTAATGAATCAACACAAAGGACTTATGGCTACATACCACCATTTGGGGCTCATTGTGATCCTATACCAAGAAGACGACGATGAGAGACGACACGTCAAAAGTGTATAGAGGAAAGGAACTTCAAAAGATGTATAATGAAAATCTTAAGTACAAAGACCTCCAAGAACGATATAAACGAAAGTAAAATGACCACATAGATGAGAAGGAAGTACAAAAAAGGGAGTCTGTTGCTCTTGCTACACTCAACTTGGCTTTTTTGCTGTTTGTCTAGGGCATTCATCCTGTGATCAAAGTCAAGATGAAACATGATCGAGACATGCTTTCTAGTCACAGCTTTGTCCTTTACACCAAATCATCCTTGCCTATCGCGTTAACTCCTTCCACCACTCTTCCATTGCTTCCCAGGCAACTCCAAGCGTTTGTGTTATCATTAATCCACTTCTCTGTTATTCATCGCTAACGAATTTGACCAACATCTCGTGCATCAGCCAGCTATTCCTTGTCAGCTATTCCTTGGCTCTTCCTTCCTAAATCTGGATGAGTTCAACTCTTTCGTTTACCGTCCTGTCTCCTGCTTGCCCCTGGCAACCCGTGCCTTTCAACCCAGAAGAACCTTGAGCCTATTCATCATGCCCGACGTGTCCGACGAAATCACCCTCGCAGGTTATCTTTTCAAACGGCTTTGTCAAGTTGGCCTACACGCCGTGCATGGCGTCCCCGGAAACCACAACATCGCAATACTGAGGGAAGCTACCGATGTAGGGCTTGAATGGGTCGCCCACTGTGGTGATCTTAATGCTGGGGTTGTCGCAGATGGATACGCACGAGTCAAGGGCATCGCCGCTCTGATATCTTCATTCGAGAATATGCGATCGTCAGTCTCGACGGCAATCGCTGCCTCGTACCGGGATAGAGTCCCAATTGTGCTCGTGATTGCGACACCTGAACGCAAGGCGCCGGCGCAGGCCTCAAAATTCCACCATTCATTCCTCGACGCCCAGCCTGATGTTTCTCGACAACGTGATGAGTTCCAGGTGCTCGCTCACTGCTTCGAGAAAATCACCATCACCCAAGAGTTTCTTGTTCATCCTAGCGAGGCGGCTGCCCAGATTGATACTGCCATTCGAGAATGTATCATGCAGTCTCTGCCTGTTTACATCGAATTACCGGAAGACTTGGTCACCAGTATGGTACCGACCAAGGGACTCGCCCATCACTTGGACTTGAACACTCCGCCTCACAATACTGAGATGGAAAAGGTGGTAGCGGCCAGTATCATGAACAAGATTAAGCACGCACAACGGCCAATAATTCTCGTGGGTGCGGGTGTCCCATCTTGTGGTCTTATCAAAGAAGCAAACCAGCTGGCGAAAAAGACTAGATTTCCAACGGCTGCGACCCAGTTCAGCAGAGGTGTTGTAGATGAAACACTAAAAAACTTCCATGGAGATATCTCGGATTTCGATATGTACGGTTCATACTTCAGATCTTCCGACCTGATTCTCCTTATTGGACCCCTGAATATTATTGAGTGGGCTTTTCCCGCTGTGTTCGAGGCGAAGACAGCAGAAACAGTCACATTCAACAGAAACTCTGTTGTCATCGGGGACAAGAAATACGAGCTATTTTCTAGGCCTGTGCTTCAGCAGATTTCAAACTGCCTGAGTCAGAGCAAACTGCGTGATCTTGCACCCTACCCAGATTTGCCTAGTATCCGTGACAGCATTGAAATGCTTCCAACTCGGAAAACGACTGAGCCCCTTCAGCATGACATTTATTCCACGTTTTGGCGAAGAATGTCTATCTTCTTCGGCCCCGGTGACATTATCTTAACTGAAACCCAAACAGCCCAGGATGGGGCACGCTGCTTTATGTTGCCGCGAGATGCGATCCTCATCAATCCTGGTGCCGGAAAGTCACCCGGGCACATAATTGCTACCACTATGGGTGTGGCTTTGGCGCAACAAGGCCTTGGCAAAACAAACTACATGCTTTCACAAGGACGAAGCATTCTCTTTCTAGGAGCCAAAGGGTTCCAAAAGGCCTCAAATGACTTGAGGGCTATCATCGATATGAAGCTCAATCTCATTATCTTTGTCATTAACGAGGGAGTACCCGTCGTTGAAAGCTTAATGCACGCGATGGAATACACACAGAAAGATTCTGGTCACTGGCGATACTCAGAATCCGTTTCTTTCTTCGGAGCCCCAAATGAGACACCTTACCCAGTCTACTCTAGCATAGCCAGAACATGGGGCGACTTTGATCTTATTATCCATGATAAGACAATTCAATCCGGGACAGGACTGTACATCGTGGAGTTCATAATCAAACCCGGGGATCCAATGCAAAGCCCGTGTCTTCTCGCTGAAATGTATGGCCCGCCCCGAGCCCCTTTTCGTTGAAGAAATATCACCTCAAGCAAGATTGATTGTCGCGAAAGATGAGACCGAAATATCTTGGAGTTCTGAAACATGTAAGATGAGGCGATATACTTTGCGTACAATGTTCAGTAATCACAATTGTGTCCACAGGGCGTAGAGAATATTGAAAGCAACTTAGAGAGCATATGCATAGAAATAGATATTGTGATACCTCTCCGAATGTCCCACTATACTAACATTCAGCCATCACCTATATTATTGACAACTCTCGCACCATAGCCCACATAGTAAGCTCATCTAACGAATCCCAATGTCCCTTAGGGCACCTCTGGCTACCAACAACCGTGAACCCCCGTTGCAACCAGTAGGCATCACTATCCTTTTTAATAACCAGAAACATAGCCCGTACCAGAGCCGACATGACCCGATGGCGACGCAAACTTTGGCGGGAGAACAACAGCAGCTAGCTCATAGTCTCCGGGGCCAGGCATGTTGGCGAAGCACTCGATCGACACATCCACTATTGGCTGGGTCTTCATCCTCAACCTGATTTGCATCGTGCCCGTCTTTGGTGAAGGCCGTCGTCTTTTCAATTCTTCATACTTGCAGTCCCAATCACTTCGGTCTTCTGAGATTTTCCATCTCCAACAAGGGCGTCTGCGCCGAGCTCCTTGGAGAGGGCGGAGTCGGTGTGTAGTCTGGTCTTGGTTGTGGCGAACTTTATTTTTGTAGTATGGCTAACGCAGTAGCTGGTGTTTATCATGTGTGCGAGATCTGAGATCTAGGGTTGATTTGATTGGGAAGGTCTGATGATGTATTGACCTTGATGTGGAAGGCCATTTCGGGATCCACGTTTGCACCTGGAGTTGGGGATTGGAGGAAACCGGGCAGTTTGGTGGACTCCAGGAGAAATTACAACATAGATCAAATATAAAAGTACCCTGGTCATCAGGTTTCAATTTGGGGTTGGAATTCCGACACGGGGCTGATGAGACGCAAAAACCCTTCCCCAGATGGACTATTCCCGATGTAATACGACTCCTTATAATAACCTCTGTTCTAGCTGACACAATAGTGCGATCTACAAGTATCTTTGAACTGGAAAAGTCGACATTAAAGATGATTTATTCAGCTATTTGGTCTGTAGTACGCAGTGGTGGTACAGAATGTGTTGTTGTAGGAGCAGACAAGGGGCATTGATGGACCGGAAATAACCCAACCACATGTGTGGGAGCCCGCAAGTCAGAGAAACTTAGATCACGTACTGCTAGAAGTTAGTATACAGATTCAAAAAGAAAATTGCAGTAAGAACTCACCGGAATGAAGAGGCATGGAACCTGCTTCTCGTACTCATCCCAAGTTGTTCCATACTTGACTTTACATTTGTGGATATCCCTCATGGCACGGTGCGTAATCATGACAGCGAAGAATACGGGGTAGAACCAGGGAAGGGGACTGTCGAAGCCGGTAATGAGTGCCCACGACAAAGCAAAGAACATATCGCAGCTGTAGTGGACTTTGCGAGCCAATCCATACCACCCATCAACAAAAATGGTATCGCCCTTCTCTGTCTGGAGTGTCTTTGGGTTGTCAACATGTCGCCAAGGAAGCTGGGGAAGCGTCTTGCGGTTCACCAATTTGCCTCGCTCCATCATGCGGAAGGCATTCTTCTGGCTGTTTGCAGTGTCCCAGACATAGTAGACGCAAAGATACGAGACAAACAGTACTGCCAATGCAGTTTTATTCCACGTATATGTCGACGGGTGGCGGCTATCCAAGTACAAAACGCAGTGACAGTAAGACATAGGGACACCGGCCATGTTCCAGAAGGTCAACAAGAATCCCAGTTTCTCCTGGTACATGTCCCATGTAGTGGTGATGAAGTGTTCTGCCTTGGCGCAGGCGTTGGCGTAAAGGAAGTGCGCCATGACAAGGAACATAACTTCACCAGAAACATATCCGTAGAGTTCATATTGGCGAGTCGCAGCCGCACAGCTCAAACCCAAGAGCATGAACCATGGGATACGGACTTCGTAGAACATCTTAAAGTCGAGGATCCCGAACATACGTGGGTTCAGTTCGACTCCCATGAAGAAGTCATAAATTGGGTACCCAGTGATACGGTGCTGGGCGCCACGAGCAAATGCAGAGAAATAAGCTAAAAAGCTAGCGAGAAACCCCGAAAGAATCGCCACAGACATCAGAGGACCAAACTCATCCAGGATAGTGTAAACTGGGAAAAGTCCAGTGTAGTGGAGAGTGGCCACAACGGCAATTGTGAGGTACAAACTACTGTAGGCCGAGCAGTAATACTCCAGCCGCTTGCCTTGCAGATGGAGAAGACGTTTCCCATAGCACGTGAATCCAGGCATATAGATGTAGCATGCTGCCTCAAAGATGTAGAATGTCCAGTAGATGCGCCACGCCCTGAAGTGTGGGAATGCACCGGTGTAAACAAGATGACATAGATGCTTTCCGAAGGCGGTCCAGGACTCTCCGTTTTGCGGCAGAGGTAGCTTTCCATCATAGTAGGTAGCGCCGATCCACATGTACCACATCAGCAACGGGAAGCCAGTCATAAGTGCCAAGGTTCCGAGTGAACCACCGAATTCGAAATTCTGTGTGTAGTCCACCTTGGGATCCATACCGGGGATCCAACCACCAGCGAGTTGCGCTTGCTTGAAGTCATCGTGCGAATTTGGTTTGTCAACAACCTCATGGGTGTCATGCTTTCGGCGAGACTTGACTTGGTCGTCCATTTTGAGAACTTGAAATATGATATGAGTTGATTGAAAACCAACGGATGCCAACAAAGTACACTCACAGTCAAAGGTTGGTAAAAACCGATACTGGAGAAAGGGAAAGACGAAAAGAAAAGAAAACCTAAAGAAAATAAAAAGCAGAAGGATGAAATGAAAACAAGAGGCCGAGAGAAAGAGGAAATAGGAAAGAGGAAAGAGGAAATAAATAGGAAGGAGCAAAAGGACCCCGGAGGATAATTTTGGAAGGAGCCAGGCCGACGCAATGATATAGTTCCCAATTGGGTTTAGATCCCGCCATCTTTACCCAATTGGGTTTAGATTCCGCTACTATCCTTGAACGTGAATTGAATTTGTGTCGTTGTATTTGTATTTGCCCCTGTTTACTTCCTCATTCAGATAATCGGGCAATGGAAAACACCCTGAAGTTTCTGAGGGTATAGACCACAGCTATTACTATAGCTTGGTGCATAATTTCTAACTTGGTTGTTGAGTGAGTATCATAGTTGCTGCATGCTGATGGAGTAAAATCATTGTCCCTTCTTAAGTTTGTCCGCTAATATCTAACCGGCCCCTGCATTTTTTTTCCAAAGCGTACCCAAAAGAATTACAGGGGCCGATTATATAATACTGAAAAGTTCCAAGGTTATCATTTACTCCCTCAAAATTATCCATATAAGGCTAGTTCGATAGGATGACAGAAATCATCCAGGGCTAACAAGTGGACGGATAAACAATGTGACGTCATGTGATCTTATCTGCAGGTGTCGACATCGTATTAATCAGCAGTGCTTATCAAGCCGGCAGTTCCCCAAGGTTGGTCTTCTCCCCAAACATCCACCTTACTATGACTGATCGGTCGGTCTCATGGATTATCAGACCATCAGTATGGACAGCAATGCCTCCAAACAGCGCCATCGCACTGTGGAAAGTCCGTCCTTGAATCGGCCGCCTACAGCTCCCATCGATGATCCCATACCAAACCACCAAGCTCCCGCCACATCCCCTCAGAGCTTCACCCCGCGCTCACTTCTCGTCGGTCTTATTATAGGTGCTCTCATCACATTCTCGAATACCTACTTCGGGCTGCAGACAGGATGGATCAGCACAATGGCCATGCCCTCGGCCTTGATTGGCTTTTCGGTCTTCAAGGTTCTATCAAAGTACCTGTCTTTCCCCTTCACGCCCGTTGAGAATGTCTTGATACAAACGGTTGCTGGTGCGGTCGGAACAATGCCACTTGGATGTGGATTTGTTGGTGTCATCCCTGCTCTGGAGTTCCTGCTGAAGCCTGGCGAAGATGGACCCAAAGGCGATGGCGGAGAAGGCGAAGGAGGTCCTCTGAAACTTGGCTTCTGGAAGTTGGTTATCTGGAGTCTGGGAGTTTGTCTCTTCGGTGTGGTATTTGCAGTTCCACTTCGAAAAGAGGTCATCGTTCGAGAGAAGTTGCGGTTTCCGAGTGGTACCGCCTCGGCATTGATGCTCAAGGTCTTGCATGGTTCTGGGAGCAACGAAAAGGTTATAGCACCGGACAGTTCCCGTGGGGGAATTTTTAGCACAGAGGCTGAAGCAGCTGGTCAATCACGAGAAGACACAGGCCTCTTGAAGAATTGCGATGCTGAAGATCAAGCTTCCAAGGAGCAAGATTGGCGCTCGAAGATGCGGATCTTGGTTGGGTCATTTGCAATGTCGGGTGTATACGTGAATATCCCCAACTCGGACTCTGCAAAATATATGCTAACAGAATTAGACTCTTTTCTCTTACTTTGTCCCTCTAGTCCATGCCGTTCCTCTGTTTGGCACGGGCATGGCGAAGAACTGGATGTGGACCCTTAACCCGTCGCCCGCATATATTGGTCAGGGTATCATTATGGGCCCATCAACGTGCATGCACATGCTCTTCGGGGCAGTATTGGGGTGGGGCGTCCTATCACCGCTAGCTAAGACCCGCGGCTGGGCCCCAGGCCCGGTTAAGGACTGGGACAATGGCAGCCAAGCATGGATTGTCTGGATATCGCTAGCTATCATGCTTGCCGATTCCCTTGTTAGTCTTGGGTGGCTGTTGCTCAAGCCTATCGTGAATCACTCCCCAAGATGGATAGCCCGGTTCCGATCCACTCAGGCTGGTCAGTGGATTGCACTTCGACTGCAATCTTCTCAGCACTCATATATCAACTACTCCGCTTTGGAGACAGAGCCTGATCTTTTGTCTCATGACAACGATGACGCCCACCACACACCAATAACAACAAGCGAAGAGGAAGAGGAAGATGCCCCGCCGTCTCAACTCATATCTACTCGCACAGTAGTGATACTCCTTCCTCTGACTCTCCTCTTGAACGTCGCATGCATGCACTTTGCTTTTGGTGAAATAATTTCACCCTTTTTATCGGCATTGGCGACTCTGCTGGCAGTGCTCCTATCAATTATGGGTGTCCGGGCTCTTGGCGAGACCGACCTCAACCCAGTTTCGGGTATCAGCAAGCTGACACAACTTCTCTTTTCACTCGCCACGCCAGCATCCCACTTCTCCAGACGCACCGCACTAGTGACCAACCTACTCGCCGGTGCGGTCTCCGAGTCAGGAGCACTGCAAGCGGGTGATATGATGCAAGATTTGAAGACCGGTCATCTACTCGGCGCAAGCCCCAAAGCCCAGTTCTATGGCCAGATAATCGGCAGCCTTGTGGGTGCAGTTCTCTCAACTGCCGTATACAAATTGTACGTGAATGTATATGAGGTTCCGGGTGAGATGTTCCAGACACCCACCGCGTATGTTTGGATCTTCACTGCTCGCCTTGTGACTGGTCAAGGGCTGCCCGAAATGGCTGGACAATTCTCTATCATTGCTGGTATCGTGTGGGCATTCCTTACCGCACTGAGGATCGCAGCTGCGTCCCCTTCCTTTACGCGCAATGGGAAACCCCCTGTTTGGAGAGCTTGGATCCCTGGTGGTATCGCAGTTGCAGTTGGTATATTTAACGAGCCTTCATTTACCCTGGCGAGAGCTATTGGTGGTATTATTGCATGGTGGTGGGCGCGCAAACACTCTGAATCGAAGACGGACAATCAAGTGGGCAATGCAAACGCCACTAGCATGGGATCTTCTATAGAGACTGAGTTGCAGGATGGGCAGAGATCGGCAATAACAGCCGAGCAGGCATCCGAAAAAGCAGATGCCGCCTCCTCGACTGTCGTCGTCCTTGCCTCCGGCCTCATTTTGGGTGAAGGTATCATGAGCATTGTGAATCTTCTTCTTGCAAGTGGACGCGTTCCACATCTCTGATCAGAAGATTTATCGCCGTGTACATGCTGTGTTTCTTGTCTAAAAGCGCGTATTCGATTTAGAAATGATATTTTCGGGCGACCTCAATTAGAGTTGAAGTCATGTTTTTGCCGTTGGTTTTTTACGATTTCCAATTTACTACCACATCCTCAAAGTGGCCTATGTCATATTATACTGGGTTGTAATCGATTCTACGAATCCTACAAATACATATTTATCTAGGACTTTCTCGGAACTGGACTGTACTATACATACGTACCGGATAATGCCTGGCACTCGAGACCTTTCCATTTCCGTTTTAGTGCTCACCTCTTGCCGCTTTTTGGTCACTAAGTAAAACTGAGCACGTCTACGGGCGACTAAGTGGACCATCCAAACATAATTCAGGGCTCTCATTCGTTATTACCGACAACTGTCTACCCTATAAAAGATTCACCACTAAACTAGCGACCAAGAGATCTACCTATTGTATTGAACATATATAGCTATGAATTTGAATTCTTCCTTTAACTACCCTCTCTACAATATATTATAGTACAATTCAATTCTGATCCACTTCAGATTCAATTCAGATTCAGTTCAGATTCAGTTCAGATTCAGTTCAGATTCAGTTCAGATTCAGTTCAGATTCAGTTCAGATTCACTTCAGATTCAGTTCAGGTTATAGTAAGTCGCCCTAGCAATCGTTGAAGTGAAGAAGCGAGTGCGCGCGGACAACTCTCCACCAATTTCGATTCAAGAGGCCTGCGAAGTCGTGGGCTGGCTGATGAAGTCCTCTGTGCAGATAGCCCACTTCAATGACCAGTAAGTCTGACAGTATTTTGATTGATATCTCCCCAAGTGGTTTGAAGTACTTTGACTAACTCATACCACTTCTGGTAGCTTCATGTTGATTTCCCAAGACCACCACTAGACTTTTGTCACCTTCGCACCTTTCGAAAAAGGATATTGTTGGGTGCCTGGGTGCCTGAGACATCTATATACAACATAGATAGTTTCTCTCTCGTCCATTTACAACATTACGAATCTGACTGCTTGGTTTTCTCCATAAGCTTTCTCAATAGATTCTCCATTAGATATCAAGATTATCTTTGCAAAAGAACTAACACCTTCCTTGGTGATGAAAACATTTGGTCCGTTTCGCATAGCCTACCGCAAGGATATACGTATCATATGGAGGACTTTGGGCGAATCATTCTCGCAGCTACACTCATTGTCAAGCCGGCGCCGTGAAAATTTGATTGATGTGACCTCAACTGCTTTGTTATCCTGCTCAATAATCATTTCATGTACTCTACCTTCCATGCTTCCTGCTTCTACGATATTCAAACCAGTGGTATTCTTCCAATTGCATCCACTCTAACTATGTTATTTATTGTGAACATCGATAATTATAAGGGATGCAATCAATCTCAAGGTAAGCTATGTCGATACGTTCACTAAAAGTCTGGAGCCATGCTATTTTCCCACTCTCTCTGGACGCTCTGATTCCGCCTTTGAGCCGCCAAACATGGATATTTTGCTGAGCACCGTCCAGATGGTCCCTTCTCTACCTCGACCTCTTTTGGTGGGCTCTGATTCATGGTCACCGTTTTTCCAAAGTCCATTCCAGCTGGAGTACATACCTCAAGAGGGGACACTGACTCCACTGATTTCTTCTCTTCGTGTTCGACCTCTTCGACTAGGTCGGCGCACATGGATCCGAGCAGAATGTTCATATTCTTGTTTGCGACTTGGTTGAGAAATCAAAAAATTCAGTCTTCCTCATGACTAGACCCTGCTGGCTGGAATAGGCTTCGATTATCCGGGCTTTCATTCGTGCGAAGATCGTGATAGCCATGACCTGTAAAGGTTGTTATGAATATATTAGCCCTTCAGGCATACGGATGTGTCTCAAGTCTGTACTCACTGGGATGGTATCGTACTCCAGGCAGTCATCGCCGTGACGACAGTTGAGCTGACCCCTATGTCCAAAGTTGAGCTGACCGGTAGCCCCACCTAATCACGTGATGGTCATACCGGTCAGCTCAGCGAGTTTATTAGTGATTAGTAATGTTTTTAGTTTACGCATAATAAATACTAAAGAAATTAATGATTTATTAATATATTATCCCTTACTTACGCACTATATATTAACCATAGGTCACCAATCTACGGGCCTAGATAAGTATTCATAGATTGCTAAGAGTGATACTCTTCTTAGTAACCTCTTACTATACTAACCTTAGTATAAAATAGCCGATATACCTAGTATTAACGAGCTAATAGGGGAGGGCTCGCGAAGGATTTACCCGGAGGATAAGTATAAGAGGCTATTCGAAGTAAGTATATATTATAAACCTTAAATATATTAAGAACCTATTATTAATATATTATTTTCTTTCTTATATAGGAGTTTAGAGCCTTAATACCCTTTACGCTTAAGGGAGAGGATATAGTATCGGCGTTAAATATTAAATATACCCCTATAGTCCCTAACTATCCTTTCTTATATAGTAGGGGCTATATATATATAGTAGATCTCGGTAGTATACTATAAGAAAGAATCTAACCTATAATATTCTCGGTTAGTATAATATATTAATAATCTATAAATAATATATTAACTCTTCTATAGATTTAATATAGTTATAGGCTCTTTAAGGCGTCTATAGTAGTATTTAATACCTATCTAGGTTACTAGACTATAAAGTACTACTATATATATTTAGGTATTAAGGCTTATAAGTATATTAATAAGATATATCGGTATAAGAACTATTTTATTAGGGATAAGGCGCTTAAGTAATAGATAATTACTAGATAATAAGTAATAAAAGACCTATCTATAATAATATAACGCGAGAAGGAAATAATTATATAAGTAATTTATTATCTATTTATTTATAAAGTATTAACTAAATAGTCTATCTAGCTACTTCCGTACCGCTTTTAAACTATTTAAGAAGGGAAAGGCCTATTTAAAATAGGAAGAATTATATAGAGTAGTATAAAGGGAGTATTAAATAATAAGTACCCTTTATAGCCTATAATCTATTATTAATATATTAATAATATATTAAGATATATAACCGCTATTCTATTTTCTATCTATATTATATAAACTAAATATATAAAAACCGCGAAGACTATTAGAAGTATAATCTTAGCCCTATACTTAATAAGATCGATCTTAATTATCTTATATATTTAATCGATAAGGATATCCTATCTAGTAGTATACTAATATAGTATACTATAATCGAGTAATAAATAAGTAAAAAGGTATCTTATAGTAACTATATAATAGTTTTTTAATATATTATTAAATTATTACTAATATATTTATATAGGTATCTAATATCTTTAAGGCTTTAGCGGTAATCTCGAGAAGTATAATTAATACCTAGTACGATTTTATATTTTTATACTAACTAATCCTATTACTATCTTATATATAATCTTTTAAAGTATTAGGAGATACTCCTACCCTCCGTCTTTATTAATAAAGCTACCTATAAGATTTATCGATAAGCTAATTAGTATTATAGCGCGAGTATAAAGAGGCGAACTCTATAAGAGTACGTCTTAGGTAATATATTATTAATATATTATTAATATATTATTATAGCTCTATTTAAATAAAACCCTCTAGTTTAAGACTTTATTAAGGAATATAGCGTAAAGATACTTATAAAAGTATATATAAGTTTTATAAATTCTAATATTATCTCTATATTACTTTTAAAATAACGCTATATCTTATATCCTAAAGCCTAGGACTATCTAGGGGTCGAGTTTAAATATAAAAGAGAGCTAAAGTTTCGGATAAAGACTAATTAATATCTTTATAATATATTATTAATATATTAACTATCGCTATTTATAAAAATATATTTAGTATCTATTTAGTAATCTAGAAGGGATTATAGTAATCTATATATATAATAAATAGATTAAGTATCTTACTATATTAACCTTATTTAAGACTAATATATTATATAAGCGGGTAGCTAGTATAGTTAATAAAGTAGTATTTTCTACTATAATTAAAGAGTATAATAAGAGTAAGTAAGAATAATATATTATTAATATATTATTAATATATTACTACTAATATCTAATCTAATTATAATATTACTCCGGGTCTTTATAGACTAGGACTATATAGAAGGATACGCTTATATATTCTATCGAGTATTTATATTTATTAGTAAAATTACCGGAAGGCTATATTAGTTTTACTATCTCTATAGCGTAGGCCTAAGAATAATAGTTATTAATATAGATACTAAGTAATTTATAGGTAAGTACTATATTATAATTTATTAATAATCTATTAATAATATATTAGGCCTTAGGATCTATCTCTAATCTATCGACCTAGAGTACCGCGATTAGAGGCTATAAATAGAATATATTTTAGTATAGTATCGTATATATTTCTTTTATCTTATCGGCGACTTACTAGTCGATTTAGATTATAAAAATTATCCTAAAGAAGTTACGTTTATAAAGAGCCTTTTATAATATCGTTCTTAAGATAAGTACTATAGCGACCTTATAGTAATTAAAGATAAAATAATCTATATTAATATTTTATAAATCTATTATTAATAGTTTATCTATAGCGGTAAATCCTTATTTTATTAGATAGATATAATATAAAAAGATATCTTATATTACTACTAGATTATACCGAAGCTTCTCTAAGATTCTACTTAAATTTTATAAAGATATAGCGAATTTAATAAACTCTACTAAGTAAATATATATAAAATTATACTATTAGGATATTAGAGAGGCTCTACTACCGGCTATAAATATATTAGTAATATATTACTAATTTAATATTAATATATTATATTAAATTATATAGGTCTAAGATTATAAATTAAACCGATATTACTTAGTTTCTCGCCTATATAAATCGATAGTAATACTATTCCTATCGCTTAGATAACCTATTAGCTCGAGCGAAGATATATTATATATATAATAGTAAAGGCTTCTATATAATAACTTATTATTAATAAATTATTAATATATACTAATATATTACTTTAGGCCGGGCGAGGATAGAGCGTACGATTATTCCTTAACTTCCTAGCCTACTAGCCGAGGCGTTATAAAATCTAAACCTTAAACTTATAGAGTATAAACGAGTACTACTATAAGCAAATTTATTAAGCGGAGTACGTTAGATATAATTATAGTCGTAGTAAGTAAGGGATAATTAATAATTAATATATTATTAAAATATTAATACTATTATATATAGAAGGCGGATAGTACCTTACTACGCGTAATCCTCCTAACCTCGATCCTCCCTAATAAAAAGTTCCTAACCCTAGTTATCTCTAGTACCCGAGTTATCCTTAGTACTATAGTTATCTCTAGTAAGATCTATATTATATATTATTTAATAGATTATAAACTAATTATATTCTAGACCCTCGAACCTCTAGCGCGCTATAGTCAATTACTACTATATATAGCGTAGTATAGAAGATATAGAGTTCGATAGGTAGGAGCGAGAGGTATAGATAAAGGAACGTATAGCTTAGGCTTAGCTAGTAGAACTAGAGGTAGAGGAGGTAAGATTAAGAATATAAGAGGTAAGAAGACGAGCGGATAGAGAATAACTAAGTAAGATTAATCGATTATTAATCGATTAATAATCGATTATACTAAGTCTATACCCTAATATTTTAATATAAACTACTAGATAATAAAGATTTCTAATATAGAGGTAATAAAATTTAGAGCTAGATCTTACTATATATATAAATAATTAGAGAAAAAAAGGCGAATAAAATATTATTATATTAGAATAACTAAGTAAGGTTAATCGATTATTAATCGATTAATAATTAATTATACTAAGTCTATACCCTAACGTTTTAATATAAACTACTAGATAATAAAGATTTCTAATATAGGGGTAATAAAATTATAAATAATTAAAGAAAAAAAGGCGAATAAAATATTATTATATTAGAATAACTAAGTAAGGTTAATCGATTATTAATCGATTAATAATCAATTATACTAAGTCTATATCCTAACGTTTTAATATAAACTACTAGATAATAAAGATTTCTAATATTGTCACGACTGACGTCTTACGTCATCGTACATCGTTCTCATCTGATCTATGATCATATGCCACTCCTTTGTTTGCTACTATGCTACTATGCCTAATTAGGTAATAGCTTGATAGCTACTAAGCCTAATCGGGTAATAGCCTTTTCTTTGTCTTCTTTATTGTTTGCTTTAGCGAGAAGGACGGGGTTTGCATTGTTTGCATAGATCTAGCATATATCTAGGCCCTCCAGATCTTGCTTCTCTTTCCTTCCTTTTCTCCCCCACCTTTAGTATCTTGAATTTGAATACTCTCTTGCTTTATCATCATCGATCGATTACTAAGCTTATAGACTTAGTTCGTCACATTATACTAAAGGTCCTCGCTACAAAAGGCCTATAGATAAGAATTAGGCACAGCGCTTTCGCACAGCTATACAGAGGTCTTATTGTGAGTATACTCTTAGCTCGAAGCATTCTTTTCTCTTATAGACAGCTCGGTAACGGGACGTACCTAAGTACGTAATCTAGAGATTAGGCTACTCCGGGTTAGACAGTAAGCTGAGTACGAGAGACTATCTATTCCCTTCTTTAAAAAAGACTCTACCCCCGGATTTCCTCCCCGGATTTTTTTTCTTCTTTCTTTACCTCGCCTCCTTTCTCGATCCTTCCGTTAAAATAGATCAATAAACCTTCGATTAACTTCGAGCTAAATTTGCCTCTACAATCGATAACCTTTAGACTTAAATTCAAAATTAGACTTAGTTAATCTCCGACCTTTAAGCCGCCGCCGCCGCTTCCGCCGCTAAACCCCCTTCGTCAAAACGTCCTAAGTCCTCCCTCCCTAATCCGGAGAAGTTTTCCGGTCTCGCTATTAAGTACGATATATAGGATACTTTTATCCGTACTAAGCTCGCTATCGACGGACCCGCTATAGGAGATTCGGTAGCTTAGTTTTACTACGTTTACCTTAACCTCTCGAGTCAAGTTTAAGCTATAGTTCTCCCT